ATCACGCCGCAACATTTTCTTAGCCCCCGAGAGTAAAAAAATTTATATATTAGTCGACAATCGGCCATGGTTGCAAGATCTCATCTCCCATCCGGCACACTTGTGGCAACTAATGGTCACCAAGGTAGATAAACATTTGTTTTGTCAGGAAGTACTTGCAATTCTTTTAGTTAAAAAAAAAGAAGGCATCTTTGATTTGTACTATCTTTGAAATTAATAGTCCAGAGTGTCTCCCTTTGCCAATACCAGAGGGAAGGATAAAAGACCTACAAGAGGGGCGCAAACTAAACCAAAACCGAATGAAGTCAATTCAGAGGAGGTTAAAAGATGGTTTTCTGTAGTTGATGCTGCAACCTTATCTAGGAAAAGTGCATTATTGCCTGTGAAGAAACTGAAGGTTTTATCAATAAGTAGCAACCTAAATAGGACTTTATATGGCTTCATTGTATTTGAAGTTGCTTGGAGTGATGTTCGTGGTATAAACTATTGTAATGAACTTCAGGTACCTTTTTACTCATGCCCTTCATTTGTTAAACCTCAATGAGTTAAGTAGTCACTCAAGTTTCAATTTAATGGACAGACTGATGCTTCATTTGCCCTAGAGGCTAAATTTATGAGAAGATGGGAATTTGATAGTATGACACAAGCTGCTAGATGTATACGTTCATGGTTCTCTGGGACTCATGCTGAGCGAAGTACTATGACAGAATATTTGGACCCTACTATTGGTATACTTTTGTTCATGTCGGCTGTCTTTGCATATAAATAAAAGTAACTTTATACTATTTCTTTTCTTACATTGGAATTCTTCAACTTTTCTAGGGAATGAAAAGTCATTACAGTATGAACCGTGACAACATAGAAATTACTTGTATAAAAAAATTATACTTGTTTCATAAGCCCAGAAGGCCAACGGCGCAATAGTAAATGTAATACAATTAATGTGTGTTTCACTGTTTTAGGAAAGAGGAAAACTGAATACATAGATGACTCAATATGAGACAAGGAACTATATCTTTTTTAATCAATAGGGTTATGCCATATGCGGATATATATAAAACATGAACATGTATGCATAACTTATTTTCACTGAGGGAGCATGTAGCTTAAATTGCTTAATTTATTTTTATTTTTATCTACTTGCCCAAATAATTGCTTTTCTTTTTGTTCAGACATCAACATACCTTGTGAAGCATTTTTTATTTCTGATTACTGTGTAGATAATTATTTCCATTTATTTTTGCATTGTTATTTCTGTAGGGGAGGAATTTTATGATGCCCAAGTAAATTTCTCAAGTACTAGTGTAGTAGATACCAATGATGCTACTGCTGATAGTTTCAGTAATGGAGCTAAATATATCTGTACAAGTAAAAGTTGCAGTGTGCTCCCAGAAACCATTAAGTTCAGTGCAATTTCAAGTAGGCCGTCTACAACTAATGGACCTTGTAAGAGAAGAAAAACTATCAGTGACAGACTGGACAACATTCCTGATTATTCTTGCAGTGAGCAGACTCCCTACTCATCTACGTTTGAGGATGACATAGTTGAAGCTACGAAATACAAGGACATTTTAATTTTGTTTCGGTTTAATGATCGTGATCTCCCATTTAAATTAAAGGACACTATTATGTCTGATTTGCGATTACTTACATTGTTGGAGTGTGGGCTTCCATCATGGGTCATCTTCCTACAGTCCTATCCTGGGCTTTGCCATATCTATCGTCCGTGGATGTGCCCCTTAGCAAGATTCTTATATGTTCTTATTTCTGTCATTACTGTTCTAATAGGATTTTATGATCTGTACAAAAATGTACCTCTCATCAAATCAGCAGCTTCTCATGTGTTTGGACCTTTTTTTGATTGGATAGAAACATGGGAAATGATATCAAGAATTAGATACTTGGGGACAATGTTGTTTCTCCACAATTTTGAGAAGGCCTTTAAGTGGTTTCTCTCAATGACGCGTACTGTTCAGTCTTTTCTATCAATTCTCACACAACCATTTACAGGACCATTTTCTGAGTTTTTGGAATTCTTCCTTCCGTTTTGGAACTTGTGTGATCAAGCGGCGGATAGTTTATTTTCAATGATATGGTTAGTTTTGGAGAGTTTGTTGAATCTCGTAGGAAACATCATCGAGGTCCTACTATTTCCAGTGTGGTGTATCCTATCAGTTTTTGGGACTGTCAGTAAGTATATAATACGTATGACACTCACTTTTATTTTCCCTTAAAAGCATCCTATTTGGCAAAATAAGCTAATTTTCATTATTTTTATGTATTTTTTATACATAATGTCCCCAAAAGGTTTAGCATGTTAAGATTAGTTATATCAACAAATAAATTTAAAAAGATAGCTGGATTTGATTATAACCTATGGTGTTGATCTTACTTACATTGGTGAAAGAAGACTTTTTTTGAACGGAAATAACTTAAACATTTGCATATTTTAATTTCTTATTTGGTTATTGTATTGTTCTCATTAAATCATTTATTGCAGGGACATGCTTATTGTACCCTATTCGCTTGGTCATGGGGTGCTATAGTCTTAGTGCCGGTGTATGCTCTTTCATGCATGAAGTGATTGTAGACTTATGGATGTTTTCAAGTAGTATTCTCAGACTCACTTCAGAGGTTGAGTCCACGGTGGCCTCAGCTGAGGTTTCCGCATGGCGTTCCCTTTGGAATGACCTTTTCTCCCAGGTTGGTTAGCTTCTTGCCATTATTATGAATACCTTTTGGCACACTCTCATTGGCACATCTAGTATTGCGTTCCAACTTTACTTGGTGAGCAGATTTTTCGTGCTCTTCGAAGCATTCTCAATGGTGTTGTTGCCTTCCTCATGGCCTGCAACCGGCATCGCTTAAGGTGGGATTATCATTACTTTTCCCTAGTCATGCTTCTAATCTTAGTGTAACCACGACTCATGTAGCACAAGGTTAACATTTTTCATGAATCATGATTGAACAATTGAAATTATTCTTAATTTGTTTGGGTAGAAATAGAGAGGAAAGAAATAGGGAAGATAGACATAGAAGGAAAGAAATAAATCATTATGTATTTCTTAGTATTATTCCATAGTTTTTTGCAGGAGGGTAATGGACGAGAAAAAAGAAAAAAGTGGGCGAGATGGTAGTATTTCTTTCTCAAATGAAGCAAGGAAATGGAATATAATTGATCCATTTTTTATATTTATCTTTTCATCCTTGCTTTTATTGTGTACCATCTTTAGATATAAGCGAAAGGGAGTTTTTGATTGTTTTAAAGTATCATCCATTTCTTTCTCTTTTTTCTTTCTTTCTTAATTCTGTTATACAAAACAACTCAGAGAGCCCACTTATTTTCTCATCTATTTCTCTCTTATCGATTTATGTTTAGCATATAATATCTGAAGTCCATCTTTGAACTAAATGTTCATCATATATAATAATTTGTTTGCTCTATATGATTTCATACTCGTAAGATTACAATTTCCCTTTTCAAATCATGGTATCCTTATTAAAAGAGCAATAACTTGAAGTCTGGTTTAAAAAGCTGAAGAAAAAAACTCGCACTTGGAACCGTTAGCATATTGTTCAATTTGTAGTAGTGTCATTAATTTACCTACTTAAATATTTCTATTTATGTCTAATAATTCGTTGCATTTGCAGCATTTATAATCATACAAAAGAGTTAATTAAAAAATTATCTCAATCCAGTGAGACAAGCCAGCTGACAGTTTACAGTGGACATGTATCAACAACACAAACGGTGAGTCTCATATGAGTGTAAACTTGTAGTCACTGCATGTTTTGTTGTTGGAATCCGTATTCATTGTTTTTTAAGTAACTGTACTTGATTGATTCACATAAGCAAAATAGAATATACTTCTATAGTCTAGATTAAATATACTAGCAAAAACTCTGGACCTTCTGGTTATTCCTCATTATGTGCATGTAAGGCCACCATACGTGATTTAGATCAAGGTCGTTGGGAACTTAGGGGAATAAAAGTTTGTGAATCAATGGTGATTGAAGTAAGAAATCCGGATAACCTGTCCGCTCTTAGAAAGGAAGAATAATTATTTAAAAACGATAAATTATTATTTTAGCTATTCTGCCTTGTATAGGTCAGCAGGCCACAAAAGGTTACCATTCCATAATAAATAGAATCTAGAACTATTACAACTCGTATTAAATTACTACGTATTAATTAGGATGAAACATAACAATATTACAAATAGAAAAACCCAACTATTAGGAAACAACTTTATAAAACTCAGGCAACACTTCATGTCTCATGGTCCAACCCCTTCTCCGCTCTTTATGTCGTTGATAGATGCGACCATGTAGATGTGAGCTAAAATGACTCCCAACATTATTGAAGAGCTTGGACTCATCAAGTTTGAAATCTTAGTAACTCTTCAGAAGAGTTTGAATCTCTCCCATGTAGCTTCCATGCTAACTGTCCAACACTCCAGACCACTTGATGATGAGCTCAATGATGCCTCTTTTATTATGCACACACAAGACTGATAAGGGCTGGAGCATAGCTAGTGCACTCTCCAACAGAGGTGACACACCTATAGTGCGAATTGGTACCTCGTGTGGTTCGAATAATGAGATGTGCAAGATATACTATTATGTGTAGTATTGTGGGGGAAAAACCAACCTATTTGAGGTTTGGTTAATGGGTTCCAAAATTTGAAATGGACTAAAGAATTTATGATGGCGACATACAATATAAGGCTAGTGATAGGATGAATTTGAAGCTAAACTCATTCCCGAGGCGAAGCTTAAGTCCTGGCATCCTTTATCACATTGGAGCTCCATTTGCTCTAAGCGCTTTCACCGCTTGGAGCAAAAGGGCTTTAGCCGCACAGTCGACAACATCCACCCCATGCCTGGAGTATATGAGACTCTGAGATGAGCTATGGGGGATCATGACCATACACCAAGTGGAAGGGAGTATCGCCTGAAGAGGTTGGAATGAAGTATTGTAGCAATATTTGACCCGCGACAACCATCAAACATAGTCTCGTGGAAACTCGCATGTCCCGCAACCAAGAATCATTATCATGGTGCGACTCACCACCTTCATTTGTCTTTCAATCCATTCCATTAGGGGATTAACTGGGCTAATGTTGTTAGAAAAAGTAGTGAGTTATTGCTCTAATAATTTAGACTGAAGTAATGGTATATATGTAACAGAAACTCTTGCCCCTTCTATACAAACACAGTCCTTGAAGGCACACTGCTTTGGCCAATAGTTTTCTCTTATAGACGGCTAGTTTGACAGGCCAACCCGCAATGTTATGGCTATTAGCCAAAGTGAGCAATGTGATGCACGGCTGGTGTGTGGCATATAATGGACACACAACTATTTTTTACCCAAGGAAGTAGGGTGTCGAACCACAGAGAAGCGGGAAATAAAATAATTAAGCACGAACTAAGGATTAAAGTTGAGAATGTGTTTCTTTTGATTTTTGGTTGCTTGCAAAAGTAATAAAATAAAAGTGATTGTATGAGAGATTTTTATCAACACCAAGTTCAACAAATAGCAAGTAGGGGTAGAAATTGGTAACTAATTGTTCAATGTTTAATTGAAAGACATAATTGCTAATTTTATTCTTAGATAGATTGTGAGAAGTTGTAGATAAATATTTTAGGACCCAACACAAGTCATCTAAAATAAGTAACTAGTCAACATTTCCCAGTGATGGCCAAAATGAGACTAGTTGTTTAAGTGCAACGACAACCTTAAATATTAACTATATTATTTACCCAACCCCGTGGTGTAAATAATATAATTAAATAATTAAATTCTCCCGTAAAACTTCAATCCAGGACAAGGTAAAAGAAGTTTAATGGTGTGTTCAGAAAGTGTTCATTTGTGTATTTATCAAACAATATGTTTATGATTGAGTACTCATAATATATATCACAAACACAACATAATTAATTTTCTGGACACAACAATCTAAATAGAACAAACTTAACAATTAAAATCAATACAAATTAAAACATGATAAGAACAATTAATTAACCGATTTCTAGCCCCAAATTTATTTAGCTATACATGTTGGGAAGCTTAGAAATAGATGAATTCATGATTTAAGTACAAGATTTAAAGAGATAAGGAAGATCAAACTTGTGATAGATGACAATCTTTGGAGCTTGGTGCTAATCTTGACTTAATCTTGATTGAGAAAGTGATTAATTGATGTTGAAGATTGGTTGATGATTTGGAGGTGAAGAATGAAGAGAGAAGGAGGAGGAAATGATTCTGGGAGGTGTAGAGAGAAGTTGGCTCGAGATTATGTGTGGAGGGAGATGGATTAGGCTATATAATGATAAGGTGATTAATCATTAATCTGCTGGAATTTACGGAACCGAAGAGTATATGTACAGGACAACGCGTTTAAGGACCAATAACGCGTAGCAGTGCAGCGGTCATGGAGGGCTGTTGTGACACGGAGGTCGCGAGTTTGATCCCGTGCTTTGACTTCTATTTTTCTTCTTTTCCTTGCTGCGATGGGAATTGGGATGCTATTAAAATCCGCTCCAGCTAAATTATCTCAACGTTGACACTCAGCGTGTCGGTTCAGCGTGCTTACTTTCTACCTTGGGACCAGGGTTCGAATCCTATCTCTTTTTTTCTTAGTTTTGCTTCCTTTTTTCAATGTACTCCATATTTGCTTTGAAGGAAATTTCACTTTTGTTGTCTTCCAACTTGAACTTTTATTTTCTTCTCTTCTTCACTCTCAAATGTATCCAAATAGCATCAAATGTACCTGAAAATATAAAATACCCGTATAGAACCGCACTAATACAAACTAACATCAAATACTAAAAATATGTACAAAGATACAACTTTATTAACTAAAATTAACAACAAACTAAGCCTAAAATGTGTGTAAAAATATAAGTATATCAACGACTTGTTGCAGGACTGTCCTGAATCTTGTGCAGGTCCATCACAAGTTGGTGAGTGAAAAATGTGAGGTTGATGCTAAGCACTGCTAGAGGTGTAACACCATTTGATCCTTAGGATCATTTCAATATTGGCTAATAGAACATAAGAATCTCTTATGAAGGAAATGCCAATAACCTCAAAGTGTAGATCTGCACACCTGTGTACAATAAAATCCTGGACTGCATTGGCTACGATCAAGTGAAAAAGTGACTATAATTCTTTTTACTTTGTCTCTAAGGTTTCTTGTCATTGGTTGATGTTCTCCATGAAACTCTTGAAAGTTTCTAGTTTCAACGGTAGCCATGGTCATGGATGTGCCACCACCTTACACAATCCAGTCCAAAGTCTTTGGGAACATGGGGGGAGAAAATAATCCAAATTAAAGCTATTGTGACTTTGTGAGCAAAGCAAGAAATCAAAACTTCCCGCCCTAGGGATGGAAGATGGATGACTGTACTTCTGTGCATCCAAGAAGAGTAATTACATAAAAATGTTACATTATCATTCCATCTTTTCTACCTTTATATATGCCATAAAAATAAAACAATCCCAAAAAGTAAAGACTCAACATAAAATTAACAATAATATTATTATATTAATAAGGAAAAATTGAAAATAATAATCCCAATTATTGCCGGTACGCTGAAAATAATCCGAACTATTGATTATTTTTGTATAATCCCAACTATATAGACTATCCGCCAATAATGGTCCATGACCATATATTACCTCTATAAAAAGTGAATTTTAAATAGAAATTAAGCGTAAAAATTAAAAGTTGAGATTATTTAGAGGGATTACTTGTTATATCTCACCCCATCCACTTTAGAAACTACAAGAATTTATTCATAGGGACCATTATTGGCGGAAGGTCCCTAAAGTTGGGATTATTCTGTAATAATCAATAGTTGGGATTATTATGAGCGGACCGCCAATAGTTGGGATTATTACTATCAATTTTTCCTATTAATAATTTAATAATAATATAAAAGGCTCTGTTGCATCACTTATAGATGCAACCCGTTGATGGGTCTGGACAATATGTTTATTTGACTGTATATATAGATCTTTTTCCCCCCAGTGAATTGTCATCTCATAATTTTTTAATATTGCATCACATCAATCCTTCATAAGAAGATCATGACCTCGTGATGTAGACTTATCACTTTACTTTTTTGCATCTTGCATGCATTTATAGTATTTCATATAAAAAATATCCATCTTTGAATGACTTTTTAGTCTGGAAACGTAAAAGTGTCACAAACTATGAAGCTTACATATATTTCTAATTTGTTAGACCATTTGTTGGTCTAACCATATTTAGCATATTACACTTGTTTTTGACTCTCTTTGACAACTTCTAGATCAAGACGGCCTTTTTTTGGGACCGAGAAGCTAAGTGTTATAAACCTGGATTCCTTTTATGGTCCGGGGGGGGGGGATTAACTCATTTTAGAAAATTAGTAGACACGATAAGCTCATGCTAGTGGGCATGGTAGAGAACCATTATATGTAGTCGTAGACTATAGTTCACTAGTTCAACAAGGTCATGTTAATGATGAGATTAATAACATTGTTTCATGCATATTTATGTTACTTTGTATGACCGTTTCAGATAAGAACTTTATTCCTCTAGATAAATGACACATGTTGTTTGACTAATTGTGGAAATGTTTTCCCAATTGCAGTTGGAAGATAAGCATGTTCAGTATCAGCACCTAAGAGAAAGTTTAGAGTCACAGAAGTTATTGTAAAAAACAGCAACAATCTTTAGAGCAGGGGCGATCCAGAAATCCAAATTGGACTATGCGGAAGATTTGTTATACCACACTTAAACATTACTGAGGTAGGCTAAATATTAAAAATGAAAAATATTACTAAAAGATTTTGCAAAAACTAACTCATCCTATGCTTCAACCAACCATAGCATTAAAGTAAAACCTCGCCTGCTTTAGAGTATACTAATGGTCATAGCCATAGCCAGGCCAGCAAGTTAGGTACTAGCCGTGAGTTCCCACAATTGTTGAAGTCCACAACGGTGAAACCTTTTTCACAAACATTGGCTGCTCACTTTGACAACATTCCAACTTTTTTGTTTCTTATTTTAGTTTGCATATATTGGTTATTGTAGTTGGACAGAAAGTCTGGAACATATGTAAATGATGTACATATATTGCCTTGACTATTTGTAATTTGTAAATGATAGTCATTTTTTTGGGGTTAGCTACTTCATAAGTGACTAATTTGGTCAATATACACATGTGTATTCACTGCCCTAAAAAACAAGCTCCCCCCCTCCCGTTTTTAACCGAGCTAAAAAAACTCTTATACTTGAAACATATGAAATGATTATTTGGGAAAGAACTTTTTAAATAAAATAAGGTCCAGGCTAGAATTAGTCTTACAGATTACTTATGTGGCCAGATTTTGCTCCACGAAAATCACATCATCTTTTGTGTAATCTGGAAGGAGTACTACTGTGAGCTGAAGAGCTGCTCTATGCGAATTAAAATTTGCATCTGTAACTCTTTGAATTAAATGCGATGTAGTTTTTTCATATCCTTGTGTCATAGATTTTCTTCTCACTTTTCAGTTTTATTTTGCTTCTTGATTTTAAGGTTCAATGATACCAACACCTCACTTCTTGAAGTACACGCCTTCATATTATCGTATACAATCACTTGAAAGACAATGAACCTAAAAGATATTTAGGGCAAGATTTTTCACATGGTGTATATATCACGTGGGCCAAATATTACAAAATGGAGAGTTCATTCGGAGACCTCTCCAATGCAAGAACAAAAACTAAAAGAAAAAACATAACAAAAGAAACTAAAATAAAGTGAGTGTCCTTGCACATAGACCCACACTTTCCACTCTTAACCTGTCAGGAGGTGGCAAGTGGCATCTAAGGTCGCAAAAGAGACCTTGGTGAGACTGAGTTGTTCTTTTCCGGTTGCCACATAAGCTTGACTAGACCTTTTTTTTTGCATTGGGAAAAACATTTGTAACAGAAAAGGACATTTAGTGATGTGGAGTTGCAATGAACCTCTCCACCGGAGATGCTCTTGCTTTCAAGAATATTATTCACATGATTACAAATTTACTACAAACGGTTAAAGAAAAGAAAATTCAAGAAAACCAATTAAAACATATAAGAAGTTAGAGAAACTTGTCATCGATATGACAAAAAATATTCGTCTTTCACTATATATGTCTTCATTATTAGTTTTTTCCCCAAAATAATATCTATTAGATACGTAGTACTTCGTAATGTTTAAAGATTAGGTCTAATTAATAAATAAATGGTTTTTTATATAGACATTCTGATATTTGCATAAGCAGTAAATTGAAATATATATCTTGATATTTTCACGACACTTTTTCTCTATATTTCCGACATATACCCTGTTTTCATAGTTATAAAATTATATTCTTATTTTTCAATAAATTATCGATATTAGTCAAAACTAGCGGTACTTTAAACACTTTAATTCTTATGCACGTATTATCGACAAGAAATGTCAATGTTTCCGTTAAATTAAAGTATCACTATTATATATATATTGTGTATTTGAAACAAAAATATTAATTAGTGTAAGAGATATCTGAAACATTTAATATATTCCTTTTATGAATGAAACATTTAATATATTCCTTTTATGAATCATATAGTTGAGCATTACCTTTCCTATGAGTGAGTAAGTGCCAGTGGACCTCAAAAGGTAAATTAATCATGCATGTTGATAACATTTATTTATGCTTAGAATTCCTTATCTGTTTCTTGCTATGACAGAGGATATTGTAAATCTGAAAGGACTTCCTAATTCATAAATATTTTACCTTTTTTGAAGCAAACATATATAGAAAAAATACAAATGCATTAAAATTAGCCATTAATCTTAGTACTATATAAACAAGTCAACAAATTCCAAAATAATCAAGAACAAATTCCAAAATAATCAAGAGCGTAAGTTTTAATTAAGAGAAGAATTGCGTCCATCAAGAAAATGGCCAAAGTGAATTTGTTGACGGTGATCATTGTAAGAGAAATATGCCCATGTAGGAGCAAAACATGGCCCGTGTGCACAAACAAATAAGAGCTCCTCTTTTTATTTACCTAAATAGGAGTCTTTTTAAAGTACCTGGACATATTTGCCCCTCTTTTATTTGATACTAGTACCTTCTTCTCCGTTTCCTCTCTATCCTCAATCAACTTGTTTCTTCCTCTCAAATTTTAATTTGTTCTCCAGCTTCCATTACCTAATTTGTTCTACTAGGCAATGTGCCGCACTGTATGGGAGTTGAATGAGATAAGGCGAGGGAGCTTTGCGGCGGCGGGACTATGCTGCGGCGGAAACAGCAGGACTGAGCTGCGGCGGCAACGGCGGGGCTGTGCTGCGGCGGCGGCGGGACTGTGCTGCTGCGACAGTTAGTCTTCTTCTCCTTTTTATCTCCTTCTTCTCCTTTTTATCTCCTTCTCCTTTTCTTCTTCATATCCCCGTACCCTCCTCACACTTCTTCAGTTCTCCTCTTCTTTTCTTTTTCTCTTGATTGTTTTATTTTCATTAATTTTTTTGGTTTCCTTTTGTTGTTATATATCTGAAATTTCTGAATTTGAAATCATAGACTTCTACTATCTAGACAGAATTCTGCTAGATCTGTTTTTTAATTCATCCTATTCAATTGTTAAAAATAATGTTATTTTTTTGGAAAAATTGATTGTAATAATCCCAACTATTGACGGTCCGCTCATAATAATCCCAACTATTGATTATTCCAGAATAATCCCAACTTTAGGGACCTTCCGCCAATAATGGTCCCTATAAATAAATTCTTGTAGTTTCTTAAGTGAATGAGATGAGATATAGCAAGTAATCACTATAAATAATCTCAATGTTTAATTTTTACGCTTAATTTCTATTTAAAATTCACTTATTAGTGGAGGTAATATCTGGTCATGGACCATTATTGGCGGACGGTCTATATAGTTGGGATTATACAAAAATAATCAATAGTTGGGATTATTGTCAGCGGACCGCCAATAGTTGGGATTATTATTTTCAATTTTTCCTATTTTTTTTAGTATTTTGAATATGAAAATAACAGTTTAAAATGTCGATTTATAGTTTCTTTTATCAAGATAGCAATAATAGCACATGTAATGTAATTATAGTGCCATGTTTGTCAATAAAAAATGTCACTTTGGCAAATAATGAATACCACTTTTATGGCATAATAACTTAATGAAGATGGCAATAACAGTAAAAATATTACAATTATAGTGCCATATTTTCTCTTCTATTTCTTCTCTTTTAATATTTTGATTTTTTAAGTTTCAGTCCATTTTATCATAAGGTGCCATCTTATTACACAGAATGTCATCTTTTTATCTGGAAATGCCATATTTTTTGTATTTGTAGATGCCATGTTTTCAGATCTGTGAATGCCATATTTTTAGATCTGGGAATGCCATGCCATGTTTTCAGATCTGTGAATGCCATGCCATGTTTGCAGAGACAACCTCGTTAGAAGGGACAAACATCAATGAAGAAGACATACATGAAAGATAACACTCCACCACTGCCTTATAAAAAGCAGCCAGAGTGCGGTGGCGGTTGCTCCCAGGAGGTGGCGGACTCGCCGGAGAATTGCAATGATGGTTCTTCAGCCAATGGCAGTGGTGGACTAGCCGGACAGCGAAAACGGCGGTCGGCGGACTAGCTGGACTAGCCAGTCGGCGACGGCGGACCAGCCGGGGCAGCGGCGGCGGCGGATCAGCCGGGAAGCGGTGGCGGACCAGCTAGGCGGCGGCGGCGGAATAGCCGGGTGGGGGCGGTGACTAGCTGGGCAGCGATGACAGACTAGTGCTAGATTTGTTTTTCACATATTTTCAATTTTTAAATGTAAATAATCCTGGGACTTAAAAATCAAGGGTACAGATGTTTCATTAAGGGTAAATCTGTCTTACTCTTATCTTTTTGCTCCTGTTTTTGCACTTTCAACTATCAACTCCTATGTTTGCATTTTTCTAATGTTTTACTCCTAGTTAGGTAATTACCCCATCATTGTAATGTTCATGCTATCAACAGGTTAGTATATTCATATTATAAAATGATATGGCCAAAATTGAAATCTCCAAAACATACTTGTGGTTTATTATGCAGTGTAAGTTTTATAAACCATACAATGAAATGAGCTAAGAGATGCATGATATGTGTGAATATTACTAATTGACGAGCTGCACTACATCAACATGTAAACATTTTAAAACTAAAAAAATCTTAATTGAAATTAAGAATATACTATTTTATTTTCCACCTCACATGTAGGGTATTCTTTAGTTTCATTTTAAAAGTAAAGAAAGATGATAGTTTTTTTTACTAATATTTTAGAATTGCAGCATTCCAAAAAGTAGACAAGTAGTATGTGTGTTCTTTACAAGGTGATATGCTGTGAATTCCGTAAAAGGACGTAGTGTGAAGTTAAGTAAAAGTTAATGGTGTAAAAATTATGATATAAAAGTTTTCAGGTGATAAATGGAATACCCGATGTATGCAAAGTATGTATAAATTAAGACTACGTACTATGTATAACCTTAGATTTAGGATGTTTTTACTTGAACTGAAGTTTTTTGGTCTGTTTAAATTTGATCTAAACTTGTCTGATAGATGTCCGGTCTATGTGTATTTTATAACTATCGAAGTCTAGTCTAGTATGCTTTTGTAACCTTAGATCTGTTTTAGTAGTAGTAATAGTAGTACTGGCAGCAGCAGCAGTAGTAGTAGTAAGCTTTGCTGGCGCCATCTAACTAAAAATATGTAAACCGTGCCTTTTTAATATGCAATCCAAAGTGTACGTTTTTCTCAAATTTAATTAGCATATATTGTTGGTTTACAAGTCCTGTTTCTTGATTAGGTTTTATCCAAGCAGAGAAGATCGATGTTAATTGCTGCACTGATAATCACATTGGATCATGTGTTCCTGGTAGTGGTGATGATGATACATGTAATAACCTCTGCTTACAGAGCAAGTGCAAGAAAGGAGGCATATGCAAGATCATAGGGAAAACACCTCCCAACCATTTTTGTCATTGCCTTTGTTAAAAGGCAATCCAAACCAGAATAACTGAATTTGGTGTGTTGTAGTTTGTATTTATAATTTTCGTATGGAAAAGTTACCATGCACTACTGTATGTTAAATTAGGTCCATCAACACAAGAA